CAACTTCTCTCTATGGAGAACTCGCCCAGTGAAAGAGACCAAGAGAAGTGAGCGGCCGTAGTGCGGCAGGTTTCCTGCTACAGGTTAACCTGCAGATGCCCGCTTTGAGAAGTGTCTTTTGTTTATTATTTCGAAACTGTCCGAAGTCAATGCGTTGCCAGCGGTTGGTTACGGGCAACCCGCGAGGGCAATTTTACCGGAATTTGGAATGTCTTCTTAGCAATTCTTGCATTAAAAGATTTTCATTTTAAAAAATGATTAGTTTTGTAGCCTACTCTATTTTAGTCCCCATTTAAAGAACTTTGGTTTATTTATAGTGATACATGTAATACATTTTGGCTGGGCAGTGATTGTTCTTTTTAAATTAACGCTAAAATTCGATCCCGGACATGAATGTTTTGCTTTATATCTGAAACAAAAAAAGCACATTTCGTTAATAAATCATTAACTTTTCTCCTTTAAAGTTTTTGCTTTTAATTGTTTTATGTTTTACTCATCGGCCCCTCATTGCTCATGGTCGAACTGTATCAATCATGTTATTGTTAACATGCATTGATTTCGTTGAATGTAGTTAAGAGAGAGAGAGAGAGAGAGAGAGAGAGAGAGAGAGAGAGAGAGAGAGAGAGGGAGAGAGAGAGAGAGAGAGAGAGGGGGGGAGAGCAGTGTTTCCTCACCCCTTTCCAGTCACGCAAGCACGCGACACATTGCAAAGACAGCCCACAACACACAATACAAGTGATGGTGATCCGAGGAATTCCATTCCTTTCTTCATCTAGTAACACAATACACTACTCAACAGGAGGCGCACTTCCTCAACCCAGGGTCATTATCATGTACATTTTAAACTTAGATCATTCATATTACATCTGCATTTTCTTTTGTTTTGTGTTCATTTCTTTTTTCATATCATCTTTCTTTCTTTACTTTGAAAAATAAGGGGGGGGTGGGGGCGGCTGAGACAACCATATTATGTTCAGGTTAGATTTTCTCATTTCGATGCAATCGGTTCACTTGAAGAGTAAGGATGTGGGGTTGGGGAGTGGTGTGACGGGAAGAACGTGAGGGGTCATTTGGGAAAGAAAGCAGCTATCCAACACCAAAGAAACTATCGTATGCTATTGTTATGTAATCCTGAGAGCAGGTGTGATAAAAATTTGCTGTTTATTGTTACGTCCCCTCGGCGTACTTTAGATTGTTTAGAAAAAGGACGGACCCATCCCGACCCACCCTCCCACCCCGCACCCAGGCGAAAAGTAGGAAAGTAGCTTTGCGTCAGGGCCAGCCCAGAGGCAGTCGATTGATAGAGCCAAGCAGAATTACGGAGATACTTCATAGGACATTTACTCCGTCGAGATATTCAAGACCGAAAATACTTAGTTTTTTTAAGTGGATGTTTTACGCGCTCGCAACTGCATAAGGTCATATGAGCGCTAAAAGATTAGAGTTGTTACAAGAGAGTAACAAACATAAAAAAGAAAAAGGAGAGATAAGGACGATAGATGTTTGATAGGAAAGAAGAAGCAAACCACGCCAGATCACCCCCCAACCACCCACCGAAAATAGTTAAATAATACATTTTCTCAGTCGTGATAGTGAACTCAGGGAAATACTAATAATACTTACAAGATGTAAATCTTATCCACTCTTATTAATAATAATAATAATAATAAATAGCATTTGTATAACGGATGTCCCCACCCGAAAGCAAGCTCTATGCGCTTAACACTATTTGTGATTTTAATGTGCAGTGGATGGATGGATAAAACCAAACCTGGGTCAAGGTAGAACTAAATAGTCAACAGCAACAAAATTGAACACATCTGCCGAACAGGTTAAGTGACTGTGTGGTTAATTTTTTCAAGCCATTACCTTCCGCAATCTCTGTAGTCAATGAAGCTTTCTTGAATTACATAATGAATACAAGTACTACAACTACTTTTTAAAATTGTCAGAGCATTAAAAGCCGTTTTTGTGTTCTTGTTTGGCCCATGCGAATGTTTGGTGTTGGTGCATTTTCGAGTGTGTGTGTGTGTGTGTGTGTGTGTGTGTGTG